CTATAATATTCAAATGATGGAACTAAATAAAAAAGGGGATACAGATGAATGTCCATTTTGTATCTGTGTATTCAAAATGGTTAGGATAGATATATAGTTAACATTCTCTTAATGAATAGAGGAATTTGTTCTAATAGTGTTTGTAAATAAGATATAGTATCTGCATCTTGTACAGCAAATACCCACTAGGAAGAATGTATGCAATGTGTTAATTATTGAAACTCTCCTACCAATTTCATTTGAAACTGTCTCATTGCTATTTGTTTCTAATAAAATTATGGAGAAAAATAAATAAATAAATTGTAGGGTGGCCTCTCCCACCATTGCAAAATGTAGGCAGACACCAGACAGTTACAGGGACCTGGTGTGTCCTTTCCTGCCCAAACTACCATCTCAGAAGCTTTGCTGAGCTTTGGCCTGCCCCACACTCACCAGTTGTAGGAGCCTTGGTGAGGCCTACCTTGCACCTTCACCATCACAAAAGCTTGTGGAGCTTCAGCTTGCCCCCATCATCCTTGGAGCCTTCTGAGCTGCAGCATGGCCCCCACTTCACTGTAGCAGAAACCACAGTGTACACCACACAGTGGGAGATTTGTTGAATCTACCCAGCATCCCCACTGTTGCAGGAGCCTTCCAGGCCAGCAACCCACTCCCCTACCACCACTGCTGAGTCTGGGTGAATATTGGAAGCTTCAAAATTATCAAAACAAAGAAGCAAAAGGCAATCCCAGACATCTATCCTACCAAGAACAGGTCCAGGAGACAAAGACATAAAAGATCTTGGAAGTCATGCACCTGAAATTTCTGAAGTGATACCAACTGAAGTGAAGGGGAAAACTCCATTAGACTATACAAGAAAGCAAATTAGAAATAATCTCTCAGGTTAAAAAAAAGAAATGACAAAAATCATGAATGAATTGCTCAGCACTTCTAAAGAAGGAAAAGATTTTTAAAAACAAAGCTAAGGCCACTTTTTTTTTTTTTTTTTTTTTTCTGAACTGGGGATTGAACTCAGGCCCTTGCGCTTGCCAGGAAAGTGCTTATTCCACTGAGCCATCTCCCCAGCCCCAAAGGTGGGGTTTTGTATTTGTTTGTTTGTTTTTACGGAACCAGGGATTGAACTCAGGCCCTTATGCTAGCCAGGCAAGCACTTATTCTACTGAGCTGTCTCCCCAGCCCAAAGAGAATTTTTTTTTTTTTTGGAACCAGGGATTGAACTCAGACCCTTGTACTTGCCAGGGAAGCACTTATTCCACCGAGCCATCTTCCTGGCCCGAAAAAAGGATATGGAAATTTTTACCATAAAGAAATGATAAATGTTTGGGGGAGTTCAGTGTGTTTAACCTGATTTAGACATTATGCAATGTATACATGTATTGAAACACTACATACTAGCCCTGTAATATATGTACTTTTATGTATCATTTAAAAAAAATTTTTAATAAAACAAGCCAATGGGACAACATGGGCTCCTGTCTTCTCCTATATCTCGCTCGTGGTGCTCAGCACAGATCTGTAAACAGGAGCAATCGTAGGTACTTGGTAGAATACATTGTAGTATTCCTTCAGCAGCTGTTGAGAGCTCTTCCCCCAAGTAAGTCATGATATGTTAGACTATTAAGATTCTGCAAGACCCCCCCCCTAAATTCCATAAATATCCTGAACTGAATTTGAGGACAAAATAAACTGTTGGGAAAGTAGTGTTACAGTTGGCAAAGACCATAGCAGTAGCCACAGAACTTCGGGCCCAACACTGATGTCGCTGTGAGAGTCTCCAGCATAGAGCTGTGGGGGACCAAGCTCTGCACACCGTCTCTCAGACTACTTCAGACCTCCTACTCAGGACCTTGGCTAACCCAAGAAACATTCCAGCTCTCTATCAGTCAGGAATCCAAGACTCCCTCAGCGGGAAGCAGACACTAGGATATCCAAGTCTGGCAGTCTAGAGGAGAGAACAGTTTCAGTTCTGCAGCCAGGGTTGGTTAAGGCCAGTGTCACCCATTTACAGTGGCAGCCCAGAGTGTACTATTCCCTGGTGACCCAAACAATGTGAGTATTCATGGCAATGAAGCAACAAAAGGGTGAGTTTTGCTAAAACCTGTTTTAAAAAATTACATATAAAAGTAGTACATTTGCAAAGACTATTTGTTTAAATGTTGAAAAATGCAAATCATCCAGAGGTAGCCAGTATTGACATTTTGAAGTATATCATCAAACTTTTCCTATGTGTAAATGTTTTCTTTTTGTGCATGTAAAATTTTAATTTTTAAGTACATAACATTTTAAAAGGTAAAAAGTTATACTTTTTAATGAATTCACTATAACCTAATTACTGGCAAATTACAGAAATAAGAAAAAGGTAAAAAATCAGTTGTAATCCTGTGTTGCAACAATATTTAACATTTCATTTTTTTTCTCTACTGGGGATTGAACTCAGATCCTCACACATGCTAGACAAGTGCTGCACCACTGAGCTATATCCTCAGCCCTAACATTTTTAATTTGGGTAATATTTCAAATAATAAATAACATAGTGAATATCCACATATCTACCATCTAGACTTAACTAGTTCTATTTTTCCGTAATTATGTCGGGGAAATTCTAGTCATCACTAACTCCTGCCTCACTAACTCATTGTCACTTGCTAGCAAGAGTGTTTTCTGATGCCTTAAAACTTACTTGCAACTTCAATAGGTATCTGTAACCCACTGTGTATAATTTTTAAATTTTGTGTAACAGTGTATTGTTTGGAGTGTGGCCTTATTTGACATGTTCTTACTATGCCATCTGATATTTTTCCATATGTTTGTATTTGATTCCATTGTATGAATTATCATTACCTAGCCCCCTGTGGTTACATATTTAATGTTTTTAAAAGAATAAAAAATAATTTTAAAAGATCAGAAATGATACAGAATTTCACTGAACAAAATAATAGGAATTTGACAGTGGTTGTTATATTGCATAATGTTGTCTTCATATTAGTTGTTCAGATTATCAGATATAAGCATACGAAATTAGTTTTTAAGAAAGTTATAACTGTTTGATCCCTGGCTGAGTTTAAGATTGAGACTGGGCATGCCGTGCACCAGCGTTTGGGAGGCTGAAAACAGGAGAATCCCTATGAGTCCAGTCTACATAGTGAGACCCTGTGAGACCCTGTGGCCACCGCGTTTATGTGACAGTTGCAAGTGTACCATGATTCCAGTGTGTTCCCCCAGTGGCTCAGGCGTTGAGCGGCTGTTGGTAAGATCGGTGAGCAGCTTGTTTTCAGGACAGACTCATTCTTCTGAGTTACATGGTAATTCCATTCCTAAAAGCTTATTGTGTATTAACTGCAAAACAGAACAAGTACTTGTTATTAAAATGGAATTAGATTTGAGCTAAGGTTGTTATTAGCAGACTTGTCCAGCATAGCAGATAAAAGCTACATAAAGGGCATAGGTCTGTGTGTAGTATGTGGTACTTCTGCACATGACAAGGCAGCTGCCTCTGTCCTCAAGGTCCCATGGCAGGCCCCATATGTGTGATGACTTCTGTCTCTTCTGTAGTATACAAGATGTGCATTTTTCTGCAGATGCTCACCAACACGAGGCTTTATCAGATTTAGTGCCACTTGTATTGGTGTAAGATAATACCTTCTTGCTTTAACTTGCATTTACCTTATTAATCAGGCTAAGCCTGTGATTTTTGACAACAAAAGGACCTCCTTTTCTTTCAGTGCCTTATCTGGGAACTGAGTGTATTCTTTACCTATATTACTGGGTTGCTCATCTTTTGTCATTGCTTTTTGCTAATCCTTGGCATGTACTTAAATTCAGTCTCTTAGACATTGGAAACATCTGTTTTCTGGCTTTCTTTACAGTATCTTTTGTTACAAAGCTTATGATGAAATATATGAACCTTTAGTCTTAAAGTATCATCTTACACTGTGTGCTTCCATTTTTGTTTTTTGTTTTAGAGGGTTTTTAATTTTTTTTTTTTGTATGTGTACATTCAACTTTTGTGTTCCACATGTAGGTCTTTGACCCACGTAAAATTTAGTTTTTTGGAGACTGTATGAAAGGGATGTGATTTTGTTATTCTCCAGAATCATTAGTGAGTTGTCTCCATGATATTCACTGGGGAGGTCCTTTGCTTTCCCACCGTGACCCTGTCATCCCCTGCCATCCCCTGCTCCCACACCTGTGTAGGGCTGTTTCTGGCCTCTTCTTTCTGCCAGTCTTTTTCTGTCTACTATCACTGCCTGTCTGCATTTCCCTTGAAATCCTGCTGCTTTATCAAGAGTTATGAACTGATCCTTAATATTTTCCTTTAATCTGATCCACAGCAAGCAGAAATCGCTCACAGTGTGAGGTGACCTTCTCTAGTTTGACCTCACCATTCAGCTTTGCCTCCGTTTTCTGTTGCTTTGATCATTTCAGTCAGACTCTTTTGTGTACCTGTGTTAGAGTTGCTGTTTTATACTGCAGTGGCTTTCTTTCCTATTTTTAATTGGAAATATTTAAAGGTAGAGGAAGTCAGGTTATGGTTTTCTGGTCCTGTAAAATGATATCTTAACCCTTCCCTTAACTCTTTACCTCCTTTTTCATTGTTTTTTGGAAGGGGGTTGTTTGGTTTGTGTTGTTGTTTTTTCTTTTTTTGAAACAGGGTCTTGCTATGAATTTCAGGCTGGCCTTGAACTCACTAGATAACCCAGGAGTTGCTTCAAACTTGCACCAATCCTCCTGCCTCAGTCTCCCAAATGCTGGAATTATAGGAGTGTGCCACCACACCAAAGGTGCCCTTCCATCCTTTCCCCTTCTTCCCTCGCTGTCTCCCTTCCTTTTTTGTCTCAAATTTCAAGGATTATTTTCTAAACTGAGCATCTTTTTCCTTCTTGAATTGCTGAACTGTTCATGTTTCCCTATTTATTTAAATAATTTGTCTTAAAATAGAGCATATCTTCAAGGAGTGATACTTAAAATTGTGTATTACTGTAAAAAAATATGAAATTAGGTCAGTGGAACAGATACAAAGCTCTTAAGTGACTGACAGTGAATACAGATTTGTGCCTTGTATTTGAGTCATTGCACTCTTAACAAAATACACAAAAATTAAGTATGTAGTTCATATCATACCAAACATAATTCTAATTTTGATTAACAAATCTGTTTTAAAAACTGCTGTTACTACCAACATAACTAACCTCCACTGGTACTGCTTCCATTATTATAGGTTAAAGCTGTACTTAAACTCCTATCCCCCAACTCCAAATCAAACAGTGAAAATGCATGTTAAAGAAAAGACTTGATGCCAGAGAAGTGAATATAAAGAAGATGTATATTCATTCTGGTTTCTCCTGTACCCTGCTGCATCCTGCAGCTGTCTGTACGCGTACTCCCCGATTTCAGTGGGCTGCCAGTGGTTCCCTTTCGGCACCTCAGCTGTTCTTCTCACACCCTCTGCAGGTCTGTCCCAGTTCTTCTGTGTGTCAGTTTCTCTAGGAAGCCTGCAACATTGACCTAAAACTTTCCAGTTTCCCTCTGCATAGGAAGGTGTGTTCCCTTCCCAGTGTAAAATATCAACTTGCACTGTAATTGCTTGTCAACTCTTTGTCCACCAAATCTAAAGCTTTGTGGATAGAACTGTGTTTTTGTTCATTCATTGATGAAACATTCTGAAGTATCTGTTTTGTGCTCCCACTCTTAACAACTCAAATCATTGAGAGGCCAAGGGAAAGCTGAAAAAAATATTAATCAGTTCTTTGAAAGCACTACTGCCTAAGCTTTGAAAGTTAGGTACCAAGTAGAAAAGGCTCCCAAAGTTTCTGCAGAGTAAAATAAAAGCAAAATAAAAAGATAAACTAGCATTTAGAGAAAAAATATGATAGAATCAGGATTTTCATACATTAGAAAGCAATATGATTGTAAAAATTATAAACCTCAATGAAGAGTTGAGAAATGCTTTGAATTCATAATCACCTGGTTGTTTGTCTCAGCAAAAAATCTGTATCTGGTTGTTGTCTCCTATTTTTGCCAGCTTCTCATAAATCCGCCACCTTCAGAATACCATCTTGTCTTGCTACCATCACACTTGTGTGCCTCAGTCGTCTGTCTCATTCCATTTGGCCTTGTTACCATGCCAACCCTTCGTCGTCCCCCCCCCCCCCATGATGCTGGCATTCCAATGGACCTGAAGTCCCTGCTGCTCTGGCTGTGGCCTGAAGTCCCCATCTCTCTGTCACACAACTGACTCTTACCAGTCTTTCTACTGTTTGACCCAGTGGAAATTTTAAAAAAATATTTCAGTGAATTATGCTCAGCCTCCTCTCCCAGGGCGAACATGTAGATGCTCTTTGTCCTAGTATGATACACCCAGAAACAACCTGGAGGTTTTGTTTTAACAGACTTTTATTTGCATTACAACATAATGCCAGGCATCACCAGGTGTTCTGCTCTGAGTGGAATCTCGTCCATGTTCCTGCCAGATGCCCTCCCCATTGTGCCATTCCTGGGCTGAGAGCCAAGCTCCATTGGGTCAGTCTCCTGTTGGTCCTTTCTTAGAGCATAAAATTGTGACCCATCTGAACTCCCTTACCTGGTTCAGGACACTAAGGGGCAGATTTTTCCCTATTATCAAATACAAAATGGTATGCCTGCACTTCTCTAAGAAATTGTTTTTTGTTTGCTTGCTTGTTTTGCAGTACTGAAGCTTGTACCCAAGGCCTCATGAATGCTAGGCCAGCACTCTACCACTGAGCTACATCTCTAGCCCGCCTAAAAGTTTTTGATTCTTCAAGGTAGTACATTCTCTCCTCATCTGTTCTCTTTTCTGAGAATAGGGCCCACGTGTCTTTGTATAATTTTTGTAAGAACTATTATTGGCTCCAGCTATTTCTATGAGAAGGAAAACTTTATGGCATGATGATGACTTTGTTGCAAGATTCTTCCCTAGGACCTCTCCTCATACCAAGAAGGACAGTTGATTTCCTGAATTTGGTAGCATAGTGGGCACACTTGACTCATCTTCAGAAAGCCTTGGTTCACCAGTACCAGTCCACTTTGGAGATGCTGGCCAACCTGGCTTAGCAAAGGCTCATTTTTTATTTATGTGCCTCATGCCCACCTACCTTCATAATAAGATTTGTAAAAGGCTCCTGATGCTCTTGGTTGTTGAGTCAGAGAGCAAAATCAGAGTACTGAGAAAAAATACACAAGCAGGGCATAAAATTGGGGGTGGAAGAGAGGGTCTTCTGTTATATCAGAGACAGAAGGCTGAGACCAGAAGGTACCCTTCCAGAACTTGCATTCTTTAGGTTCCCACTTCCTGAGGAGTATGCACTTTAAAACAAACCTCAGGTTCTAAAGTGGTATTTGCTACTCTAACACATCTGGGACTGTGTGAATATCCATGACAGTAACTTAAATTTATTGCAGAGATGCAGGATCCGTTCATTCCAGCTTGAACAGTGGGATGAGTTGGTGGTTCTTGGGTGTACTGATACTAAAGTCAGTTTGAAATAAAAGATTTGGGGTCATTAGTTACAGTATTAATGAGTTTTCCCATAATTTTTTTTCAATTCTAGTAATGTTTTTATTATAGCAATGAGTACAAATTCAGATTTTCCTTAAGATAGCTATGCTGTTTTGTTTTTCTTGTATTTTCTTTTGTTTGTTCATTTGTTTGTTCATTTGTCGTTGTACAAGATTTATCATATGTCTTTATGCAGCAGTCTCCATTTTCAAGAAACAGCTGTCAAAGAGACCCTGTTATGTTGTAGGACCTGGCTTGGCATGGCCGGCTTCCTACCCTTCTGTTCTGAGACAGAGTGCTGGGCAGGAGCTTGTCTTTGGGTTGCATAGTGTTCACGTGGGGCTTGGGGAGCAGTCATACTGCCTGGATCTCAGGGAATCCCAGCCTTTACTTTGGTCCCCAGCACACCCTGTCAGAGCAGTTCATGGCTCACTGTGGTGTCAGTGTAATAGTACACACACACTCACACATGCACCTGCACCTGCACATGTACATGGTCAGTCATCAAGCCATCCGCAAACTCTGTAAACTTAGCTTCAGTCCTCAGTGTTTCCCCAGATGCATGACCTCCTCGCAGGCTTGGGCTCTGCTCTCCATGATGGACTGCAGCACCACAGCAGGCCCTCCTCACAGTAGGCCCTCCTAGGAGTTGGTGACTTATTCTACCTGGGCAATGGTGGACAGACCTTTTTTGCCACTTTTTCAGCAGAAAACTCTATGCTATCTTTGGGAAACCAAACTTGTTCTGAACTACAGCACTCAGTTATTGGATCTTCCAAGACATCTTACCAAGAACATTCTGTGTCCTGATGGCTAAGACAGTGACTTCTGTCTCCATTGCTGTAAAGCAGACCCCAGCCTAAGAGTAACTGTCTTCAAGCAGCTCAAAAGTAAGAAGCACATTTAGTTCAGCTTTGAAGATGCTGTCAGCAATGAACTTCCTTCTCTTAGAAATCTGCACTGCATTTTGCTGCTTCACACAGCAAAAGGAAGGCAGTAGTGTTGTTTTCTTTCCATGCCAGCTTGTCCCCAGAAAGTAGCATCAGTGTTCAGTCTTCTGCCTGCTGGAGCACCTCACCCTAGATTAGTCCCCCCATGTATATACCTGGAAGCTGTGAAGGATGGGAAGAAAGCTTTCAACAGAAAGCTGAGCTATCTCTCAAGCCCCAATATTGTCAGTCTCTAAGATATTGCTAAAAGATGTTCATAATATTGTTTATGAGATTCCTTTGAAAGGGAAACATTAAGGACCAGCACCACCTCCCCCATATTTTGCCTGCCAGCATTTACAAGATACTAAAACTTCATAAGCACTTGCAGGATGTGTTTTAGAGTACAGAGCCTATAGAGTGCACCTGTGGGCCCAAGGGGAGACGTCAGCATTTCCCTGGACTCTGCCCATGCCCAGTATGTGCGGCCCAGCTGTGCGGACCAGGATGAAGATGGTGAGGGACTTGGAGCACTTATGCTCAGTCACACAAAAACTTGCTTCCCCGTGAATTGCTCTGACTCCTGTGTTTGTTTCTTATTTTGATTTATATGCTTTTTAATAAGCATAAACACTATACCCACTCTAATCCATGAAACAGTGAGTAAAACAAATCAGCGTCATACTAATTTGGAAATTTTTCCCTCTTGAACTTCACTCCTCCTCCTGTCTCAGAAATAACAATTTGCAGAAGAAAACTTCCCTCATCCCCCAGTCCCAGCTGAAAAAAGCTTGAGCTGATGCACTTTGAGTGAAGGGGCTTAATTGTTAAAATTTGAACAACATGCAGTGAAAAATTACATGATTTAAATTTAAAAAAGAGAATTGGACATTATATAATAATGGAGTTCCAGTGGAGAAGGAGGAAATAGTGGTAGTATTAGAATGACTTTATGATAAGTTTGCTGTTCCTTTTTTTAAAATATAGTTGGTGGCATTGTTTTTTTTTTTTTAATTTTTTTTTAGCATATGTTTGCAGTAAATAATCACATTCATCCTGGGGGATGTGTTTGTGTATATGACACATCTTAATTTTTTGGTCCCCCTCTCCTGCCTTCTCCAACTTTCCTTCCCCTGTCTATTTATAGAAACCCTATTTCCCTTTTTTTCTTTCTTTCGATTCTTTTTTTTTAGGGATTGAGCTCAGGCCCTTGTGCTTGCCAGGCAAGCGCTTGTTGTACTGTGCTAGCTCCCCGGCCACTCTTTTCAATTCTTATTGTTTAAATCCTTTCTTTTCTTCCTTCCCCTCTCCTGCTCTTTTATTTCCCTTCCCATTTGAACAAGTTCTTCCCACTTCCTAATATCTAGCCCCAGTTTTGTTCTTCATTTATGCCTCAGATTTCTTACACAAAAACTTGTGTGCCTGATTCACATAAGATTATGCTGTTAAGGCGCATCCATTTACCTAAAAAATACCTTGTTTATCTTTCTTTGTGGTAGAGTAGTACTCCGTTGTATGTAAATACCACATGTTTTTCCATTCATCTGTTGGGCATATGGGCTATTTCCAGGATTCAACTATTACAAGTTGTGGTGCTGAAAACATGGGCATGAATGTCACTGTGGTATGATGACCTTAGCTCTTTTGGGGAAATCTGTAGAAGGGGAATAGCAGGATGAAATACTATTTTTAGTTTTAGGTTATTTAGGAATCTCCATACTGATTTCTATAATGGTGTACCAGTTTACATTCCCACCAAAAATGGAGAAAGCTCCCTCCCCAACCCAGACAGCCTCAGCCTTATCAACATTTGTTATTGGTTTGATTACTTGATGTTGACCTTTCTTTCTGGAGTGAGATAGAATCTTAACATTGTTTTAATTTGCATTTCTCAAATGGCCAATGATACTTACTTTTGTTTTTTTTCACGTATTTATTTGCTGTTTGCACTTCTTCACCCAAGAGGTGTTTGTATTCAATTCAGATACCCATTTTTGCACTGGGTTTTTAATTTTGGGAGGTCTTTTTTTTTTCAGTTCTTCATATATTTTATATATTAGTCTTTTGTCTGAGAAATAGCTGCAAAATTTTTTCCTATTTTGTGTATTGTCTCTTCACTTTGTTGGTGGTTTTCTTTGCTATGCAGAAGCATTTTAATGTGACGTGATCCAGTCTATTGATTCTTTGCAATATTTCTTTCTTTTTTGGATACTGGGGATTGAATTCAGGACGTTACATTCTCACTAACTCTATATGCTGGTGCCTGTGAATGAGGCGGATGCACCAAGGATGGCGATGTGTAATAGATGGGTCACGCTTGGAGTGCCTGCCATCCTGGTCTTCTAAATATGTACTTCTTGTCATGACATACCCTTTACTGCCATAATGTCTCTCAAGTAAAGGTTTTTTTTTTTTTCCCCCATATTTTTTTAAGGGTGATAAATTAAAAAAAAAAAAAAAGTCACAAGAATAAGAAAAAAAATATATCACAAGTCTGTCCTGTTACAATTCTGTATATGGTTAGATTTCTAAATTTCTTTGTAAAAATTATGTAAATTCTACCTTTATAGAATTATTTTTCCAACATATTTGGTAAGGTCTTAAAGTTCAACATACCAATATTTGGTGGAAAATAACTGTTCCATTATATGCCAAAGATGTTTGATATTTAGACAGGGTAAACTGAACTGCATATATTGCAGGCTAATAATAAGCTTCTCTTCTGGAGAGTTAACAACCTAAGTTAGCAGTTCAAAATTGGAGAAAAGGAAGGGCCGCAAGGTCAGCCAACATTTTGGCCCTAGCCTTTCAAGGTCACTGAAGACTCGGGACATAGGAGAACAACATGTAACTCAGTTGCACTCTAAATTTTCTGATCAAGAAGATCATGGAGCCACAGAGGAATGTGATTGATGATGTATAGTGTGCCTTGGGAGAGTCACATGGAGAGAAAAAACATTCCCTCAGGCTTTCACAGAGAGCAAAGTGGTCAGGTAATGGCCGTGACTCATCCTCATGACTGATACTGACAAAGGATCTACAAAGTGTGGTACAGGGCCACGGGATAAATCATGAGGGTACTTGATAGACCATATCAGATGCAAAAGTTACATTTCTTGCTATATAGGTCTTGCTTTATCTTGGTCTTAACCACCCAGAAGAAAAGTATAAAAACGAGGTATATAAAGTAAAGCCATATTAATATGATGAGCTGTAAAAGACTCAAGTCAATGACTTCTGAGGATAACCCATTAATATTATAGACTGCTAGACAGTGTTGGATTGTTTAGCTGAATTCAAACACCTTAGTATTTAGATGCCAATAGAATATTCACCTCTGACAGGACTAAACAAAAAAAGGGGGATACAAAGGAAAGATCATTTTGTATTTATATATAAAAAATAGTTAGGATAGGTATACAGCTACTTTCACTTAATTCAATGAGAAGAAAGAGGTGTACTAATACTGTTTGGACAGGATATCTTGTCTGCTTCTTGTACTGTGGATAACCACTAAGAAGATAACAATGTACAATGTATTGATTATCGAAACTGTCCTTTTATTCAGCTTTGAAACTGTCTCATTCATATTTATTTCTCAATAGAATAAAAAAAATTAAAAAATGAAAAACTGGTGTTTTGCTTAAATATCCTGTGATATAGTTCATAGTAGAACTACGTATCAAGAAATTATCAAAGTGATTTTTAAGTCATTTAATTATGATTTTCCCAGATAAACTTTAATGATCCCTTTCCTAGTTTAAAAGTTTTTTAAAAAATTAAAATGGTGCTACATAGTACAGGTAGTAAAGATTTTACTCTCTTTGGAGCCTTTCCATATATTACTAATCTTGACTAGAAATATTACAGTATTGACCTTTTTCTTTTCTGTTTTGGCAGGAATTACTGTTTCACCAGATCTGAGCATATCTAATTAACAATAGGTTTGGTATTAGAATAGTAAAGAGACAGTGTCTAAAATACATTGCCCACCCCAGCTTTGTGTCTCATGTGATACAAAGGAAAGCAGAGCGTGGCTTTTTACAGGGGCCAGGTGCTATGTGTGCAGAAGGGAGATACAGGTAGAAGATGATTGGGGCTTGAGAGGAAATGTTTGTGTGGGGTCTTCCTGCAATCTTAGGCTCACTGGGAATGAAGCAATTTCTAGGAACCATGGGAGAAACTTGGGCACGAGCTCTGTTGCTTTGCAGTACCTAGGCCAACATCCACGAGAAACTGTAGCCAGTGTCAACTTCTCTGCGCTCAGCCTATAGGTATAGTCTTAAGAAAGTTAGGATTTGTCAAGGAAGTACCTTGGAGAGACAGAGAGAACTTAGCACCCTGAATAGGATCCCAGGCACGAAAAAGGTCCACTTGGAGAACCTGTGGAATACATGCCATAGCTGGCTGTTATCGTTGAAAGCTCTGAAAAACTCGCCATTGCTGGACATCATGCCTTGAGAGCTCATGAGTGATGCTTAGTGTGAGGCAGAACGGGTCATAAGGTCTGACAAATACCTCCAAATGCAGGGTCTTTGCTGAGAGTGGAAGAAACGCCTTTCTGTGAGCCTTTGGACAGCTAACCTGGGACAGGTGTGGAGGGATGGTCTGGGTACAGCTGGAGATGAGGAATATTTTGTAAAGTTCAGAGTCCTCTCTCCCTTCAGTGACTTGATTGAAGGAGGTCCCCACGCTGCAGTCAGACAGCAAGAAGCCCCTGCACTGCTGACCCCTCCCAGGTAGCTACTGAGCTGTCCCCTCACTGACCACATTAGTCGTTTCTAAGGCTGAAATACAAAAGTTGATGCTGTTGCAATATCCCTGCCCTTTCTTCCTATGTCACCTTGCCCCGCACCAGATGACCTCTCCTTCACTCCCTTCCTCCTCAACTTCCCTTCAGCGTAAAGCCACAGTTTGTTTACCTCTGAGTTTGTGGAGGTTTCAGTCCATAGTCAGCTGGCTCTAAGGCAGGATGGTATGGCATAGGGGCAGCAGTTCAAGGCAACAGAAGACAGCAAAAGCCAAAAAGGGGAGAGCAAGCGCCTTCATCCATTGCTGTGAGCAGGCAACCATGCTCTCCTCTTGCACAGGCTCAGGATGTTTACAGAGTGAGGATCCTGGCCCCCTGCAGAGTCACTCAAACTTTTAAACTTCTCAAGTTGACACAATATCAGCCACTACAGGTACCCTACAGTGTTCTCCACTCCTATTCTGTATGCTCCTTCATCTCTCCATCTATGATTCTCCCTTCTCTCATTTGCTCAGCAAAGTATATGCACCATCAAAGTATCATGCCACCGTCAGCCAGGAGCCTGGAAGATAGGAATGGGTGGTTTCTCTTTAAATCTGGGGTGGAATGGAAGGTCACTAGGTAGGGTACTGCACAGCAACGTCACTTTTTCAGGATCAGTAATTTCCTTTTATCCAAAAGCAGGTGGGTTGGAAAAATTATTTTAGCAGTCACATTTTTTAAAAAGAGGAGGGGCCGAGGAGATGGCTCAGTAGAATAAGCACTTCCCTGGCAAGTGCAATCCCCAGTTCTGCCAAAAAATAAAAAAAATAAAAATAAAATAAAACGAATAATACATCTGGAAATGATGATCATTCCTATGTTTAAAGCAGTTACATCTTACCCAACTCTTACGTAGTAGGATTTGTACATCTGGAAAACAAAAACTAGCAGAATTTCTATGGTCTTGACAGCACCCAGGTTTATAAAAACTGCAATACAACTTTGCTTCATTCTATACAACATTTTGGAAGTGTTCAGTTTATCACCATGTACAGTATGTTGGTGTATTATGTCCCTAACACAAATTGAGAATGCACCATCTTTTTATTGACCTTGTGGATCTTTTTCTCTGCAGGAATAGGAGGCCTTCAAGACTTCGTGCTGAAATCTGCAACTCTGTGTAGCCTGCCATCCTGCCCACCTTTCATACCACTCAGTTTCGAAGCCACCCCTATTGTGAGAGTTGCTGTTGAGCCGAAACACCCAAGTAAGTGAACTTGTTTATAAAGGCATGTGGTACATATCCTTTATCCATATCAGTCAGAAATGAAAGCAGCTTTCTGTATTTGTTACTGTATATATCCATGGACGTCTGTGCTAAAGTTTCTGCACATTATGAATGATGTTCATCACACTACTTAAGTGTTTGTATTTATTACTTCACATCCTGAGATTTGTACCACAGTATATGAGAGTGTTTGTTGATGTGTGTAATAGTTGCAACATTGAAGGGCATCAAGCCTGTCTTAGGAACATGGCACAGTTAGGCACCTCTGCTGTCTGAAGAGATTGTATTCTTTTTGATGGCAGAGACAGGCTCATCTCTGCACCCTCCATGGCCCTTGGCAAAGCGAATGTTTTATTCGACTGCTTCCAAGTTAGACTCTTAACCCCAAGCTCCTGTCTCAAGATCCATCCTCTGCCTCTTTCTTCTTGATCTGCTAGATTAGCTTGACACTGAGTATACCATGTCTCTTTAGAAAATACTTCTGGCTGCCTGATGATATCATGGTGAATGCTAGCCTTTGGTTTTGCCATCTGCCTGGCCAGTCCTCAGGAATGTTTTCTCTTTGCATACCTTTAACTGAGCCCTTCGCAGATCCTCTAGAACTGCAGTCGGGTGCGTGACAGCCTCACTCATCCCTTCTCTGAGTTAATCCTCAGCCAGTCACAGGAGCCTGGAAACCTTGGGCAGGTACTTTGGAGGACTATGCCTCTAATTGTAGGCTCTGTCCTGCCTTGTGTTTCTGGGTGTCACTGGGCTGACAGTACTAGGTTACCTCTAGGGTTCACCCATGCTCTCTATTGAGTTTCTGCTGGTAGGCTTCTCTAGACCCTGAGACATGAAGGCTATGGTCACTATCCTCCACATCCAGTCTTAAAAAGCAAAAAGTACAAGAAAACTTAGTTTGTTTAAATTGTGACATTGAAGTCTGGCATCCAAGGTATGTTCTCAGATGTACCTACTCTTCCTTAGTTTTTCCTACTGCATTTGTGTCTAAAGTATACAAAGAGAAATTAGCAAATATTTGATCACTTAAGCTTTCATACTTCATACAAATGTGTAACTCTTGGTCGTGTGCTGGTACTTTGTAAAAAAAAAAAAAAGAAGAAGAAAAGAAAGAAAGAAAACTAAAAAGGTTAGAAGAAGCATCTATTTTTGTTCATAATTTTTTAAAAGAGCATTACTGCTTTCTCTCACCAACTGTGTTGTTTTCACTGAATTTACCGTGCATGTATTGGCTATGTTACCAAAGTGTCCTGTTTGTATCTCACTAGCTAAATTTTATGCTTTATCTGTAATGTCAGCATTGTATTTTACATTCAGAACATCTGAGAAAACTAGGTACTGTCTTCGTTCCTGTGTGTTCTCAGGTGTTTATTGTGTATTTACTCTTTGCCCTAGCATTCTTCGTTTGGGACAGTACTCCTTGCTTCCTGGGTCCCATGACTATTGACCAGTTCCTCCATTCAGACTTTCTACCGAAGCCGGCAGAGAAGTGCTGGCTTTATCCGCATTAACTAGAACATGTGTCCCTGCCCATCTCATGTTGCTCTTAATGGACTGGTTGGGCCAGACCAGAACATGCTTGTTACTCTTCTTCTAGGCAGAAGCAGATCCATTTGTTCTCTCACTTTTTCTGATTTCCAAGGCAGGAGTCACAAATTGTGTCATCTGCTGTATGCCCACAGCATGGAGGACCACAGACCTCTTGAAGCCATTATTGCCCTCATTATCACCAATCCCTCCTATAGTCGACACATTATGCTGAGGACTTTGCATTGACTATCTCATTTAATTCTCTCAAAAGCTATGTGCATTAGGATGCTACTTTTATTCTGTCCTTACATAAGAGACACTGAGGCGTGGAAAAGGTAATTAACTTGTTCAAGATTTTATAGTTAGCAGTTGATTTATGATTCAGACCACTGCCTCAGCAACATCTCTGGATCTTCATCTTTAAGAGCAGTTTAAGAAATCCTATTTACCTCAGATTTCTTTCATCCTTTCGTTTTTGTCAGTTAAGAAGGGAGTAGGGTAGGCTTTTGTTCCTATGTGTCCATGGATATGTGCATGTTTGATGTATATTATGAAATACAAAAGTAGAAGTTACTTAAAAGTGAAGTTAAAATGATATATTTGTTTTTTAATAAGAAGATTCAATCCAGGGCCTTGCACATGCTAGATAAGCACTCTGCCATGGAGGTACATTACCAACCTTTTTTTTTTTTTAAAAAATTTTATTTATTTATTTATTTGTGTGTGTGTGTGTGTGTGTGTGTGTGTGGCCAGCTCAACCCACCAGGGGGCGGGGCTGGCTGGCATGTGGTGCTGGGAGATTGAACCGCGGTCCCTGTGCTTTGCTAAGCTTGTTCTAAGTAGGTGCTTTAGACCACTGAGCCATCTCACCAGCCCACTGAGCCATCTCACCAGCCCACCAACCTTTTTTATTTTTGTCTTGAAACAGGAGCTCACTAAATTGCCAAGACTGGGATTGAACTTATGATCTTTCGGCCTCAGCCTTTTTTTTTTTTTTTTTTTTTTTTTTGATGATGCTTTATATTATAGACATATATCACTTACTTGTGATTGTGGTTTGTAATTCTGTGAGTTATCTATTATTGCAGAGCACATTATTCTTAGTAGCTTCTTACAGCACTAATCATTCATTTTGCAGTCCCTTTGGTCAGGAGTTTGAGGGCCCTTCAGCTTAGTGTCCCCTCACGGCTGCAGTGGGGATGACCTGGGGCCATAACTGCCTGGAGGCTCAGCTCTCCTTCAGCTGCTGCTGGCTAGGCCAGGGCTTCTCTTCACTGGGACCTTCTTGTGGCCTTTTGGGGGTCCCAAATAGTAGGATGGAGTCACGCACTTCTTCAGCAACATGGAGCTTGCCCTCAGAGTCCCACATACAGGCCAGCCTGACTTGTAGCGAGGACACATGGCAGCATGATTATAGGGCTGGATGGTTGAGGCTGAATCAGAAGCTGGCTGTAGAGTAAGGCCTCACTGTTTTTTAATAACTTGCTTTACCACGATAATATTGCTACTCAAATGCCTGCTTCTAGGTTCTACTTATTAGAGCACTTTATTTTTAAGTTATTATGACTGGAAAAGCCGCTCCACAGAGTTGCGTAGTCCCAGTGAAAGAAAAGCATCACCACTTTTCTAAATCATGGCATCCATTGTAGGATCCCTTTTACCACCCATATAAGGCTTTAATGAAATGGAGATAAGAAGTATCTGTTTTTCTTAATGTTAGTCAGTTTTTGTTGTGCTACTTAGGTATTAATTTTTATGTCTTTAATGAACTATCACTTGGAAGATTTTTAATATGGAATGGGAGAATCACCTTCTAACTTTTGGGAGGTTTATATGTGATATACTTATTACATTGTTTTTGGCCACAGAATGACTATCAATGGAAACATTGTAAGAAATAACAAATTTGTTTTATTTAAAATATTTCTTATTATTAAACATTTAATAGTATGTTTGAAGAAACATTTTAAGTGTGTCTGCTTTGTAATTTGGTTGATAAGAGTGCTGGGGAAAGTTGTGGATGGTGGTGGTGATGTGTGTGTTATTAGTATTATCAGTGGTCTGTCTGTAGGAATCCTTTTAAGCCAGGTTTTAAATTCTGTGAAGGATAACATTTGTAAGTCCTCCGAGTCAGGCAAAGGAAAATGCCAAAATGCTGACAGCACAGGGCTAGGTTCCTGTGCTGGCCTTGCGTGTGGAGCAGCCCACCCACCCTGCCTCACGGCTCCTGTGCCAAGTGGCTGTGCGTGGCCCTGTGCACTGCACTGTGGAGCGTGGGCGCCTTGGCCCGCTCAGCAGCTTCACAGCCAGGTTGTGCTGCAGCATTGTTCTTCACTTGGGGTGGAGCTCCTTTGCTCTTCCATACTTGTTTCCTCATCTGCAGAGTGAACGTATTAATTATAGCTGCCTCACAGTTCATAACTTCATGTGGGGAAAGTGTTTCTCTGGCACAGGGATGGTGCAACAAAGTGTTGGCTATTATTACAAAATTTTTCTTGTTCTCAGGATTGAGCCCAGGGCCTTCATACTGAACCACATTGTTTATGTTGAGATAGCGCCACTAGGTTGCAGGAGTTGATGATCCTCCTGTCTCAGCCCTCCAGAGTCCTGGAATTACAGGGGTGTGTGTACCACCACACCCAGATAGAAGGATGATTTCAAAAATAAATAGGCCCGGAAGTTTTAATACTTTTTTCTTGCTAATTAATAAATATTTGTAAAACTTTTAAAGTCCACTGCCTTGCAGAAAGTTCCTGTGGTTTTGCATGTTTAGCATGTTAAAAACAAACTTTACAGAGTTTCTGAGTCTTTTCTTCAGAAGTAGAGTTGAAACAGTACTGCATAAAAATACCTTCACAGTCTGTCTCTGCCCAAGTAGCAGCAAGAGACCCTTTGGCCTCCTTTGTGTGAATCTGTGGAACTGAGTAGAAAGAAGTGGGTGAAAAAGCAGCTCTCGCAGCCCGCATCCATCCTTGAGCCCCATGAATTGGAAGGAAGAAGTAATTACAGGAAGTTCCTGACTTAAAAACAGTTCTCCGGGAGGGACAGACCTCCTTTGTAAGTTGGGCACTTACTGTGTGTACCAAAAGCACAAGGAGGGTGCAGTACTGACGGTGCCATTGCTCACTAGGTGCAGTAACTAGTTTGCATTTTCTAAAATTCAGGGTGCTATCAAGCAGTTTCACAAATAGTTATTTTTAGTTTGAAGTTTTGATAGTTTTTTTTTTTTTTTTTTT